TCCCTACCTGGGTTGGGGGGAGGGGGGATCGAGAGCATTGTTGTCGGACCTGAGTCAAACTGTGACAGCAACCAACATGGTCAGCACATTGCCAAGATTGTCTGTGCTCAAGATAGCACTGTGTTCTCACTGGTGTTACTGCAGCAATTGCTGTAGTAGAAGTTAAGGATTTTACAGTACACTTGGAAAGATTAAAAAAAAGATAAATAGTAGGATTTAACTGTTTTTAAGTCTGTATTAATGTTTTCACTCCAGACTCTTAAGACTCCCAGTAATCTGTGTCCATACTACAGCTTTTGATAAAGACAACTTTTAAGTTCCATGTGGAAGAACACATTCTTGGGCTGAAATGACATTTCCATGTCTGTCCATTTCCAACTGAAGTTTTGTCTTAAGAGGCTGAAGTACTGCTATAGAACAACTCCTATCAAGAACAAAGCACAGTGGAGGTACTAGTACCATTGCCTGTTCTCTCCCTGCACAGCATACATCAGTACTAAAGTTATTTTGAATTTCTGTTTACATTTTACCACAGATTTTTCAGTAGCGATTTAGTCAAGTCCCTCCTGGGTTTTTCTGCCTCTTTGAACGTATGTGCTCCACAAAGTACGACCAAGCTATACCAGGATGTGTTCACTTCCTCTCCCACTCGGAGACCAGGACACTCGCTGCAGTGCTGGGCTGTGCCGCCACGCTGTCAGCTTACAAACAAAGCCACATTCCCCCAGGCTCTGCAGCAAGCACCAAGCGGTCACGACCACCGGGCCCTGCAGGCCGTGCCAAGGCCAGGCCCCCTCCCCCGGGAGCGGCCGAGCAGCCCGGCCGGCAGGGCCCAGATTCAACCCACGCTGCCCCAACAAGCGCCGAGTCGCGCCCCCGGGCCGGAGCCCCCCCGGGCCGCTGGACCCGCTGGGGGGGCGGCAGAGTCGGTCGCTCCCCGCGACCGCGGTCCCGATGAGAAGAAGCCCTCCGGGAGCCCCAGCGCCCTGCGACCGGCCCCCCCGACGGCGGGCCAGGAGGGCAGGCCCGGCCC